TACACATAAAAAGCATTGAGGATTAATTAAAAGACTTATTTGTACAATTCACATGCAAAAAAGGGAATCTTAAGTAAATATACATGTCATAAGGTAGTTGGTACCCTCCTTTCTATTTTATCTGCAAATGCAGCTTTCAAATAAAAGAATGCTTATGTTAGATATTAGCAGATTTCAAATAATGCATATATTTGTCCACTTTTCAATCTTGAGTAAGAACAATAAGCATGAAGTAAACACCCAACTATTTTCATTTCCAGCCACATGTTCAGGTCCGCAGTAAATAAGCAATGTGAATTAAAAAACGTTTAAATTACGAAGTCAAAACATTCCTAATGAAATGACGGAAATTTCAATACTAGAAATATGATAAATATATTATATAATCTCGCTGTTGATAATACAATAATTATTCTGTATTAATGTGCATTTAAGGTCAAAAAGCGTTCTTACCGCTTATATTTTGTAAACAATGTGAGTGCTGTATCATAAAATAGAAAGTTACCTGCTAGTGGCGGTCCTATAAGGGTACCGATACCCTGAAAACAGACGAGAATCCCGAAGGAGCTGACAAGATTATCGATTCCTGTGATATCCACGACAAACGTAGCCTTCTGTGCTAGACACATACCGAGCACACAGCCGTAAACGCCGCAAACAAACGCAAGTAGGACGAAGAAATCAAGGAAGGGCATCGCCAACGTAAGCACACCTAGCAACACCATGGCAGCGTTGTAGAATGTAAGGCGGTGTGGTCGCACAACGTCAAGGTCAACCAGGAAACCAGACGACACGCTACCAAACGTTTCCATAGCACCTGTTATAGAGACTAGAAAAGCACCCTGGCTCTCTGACAAACCCTTTTGTAGCACGAGCGGGGGAAGGAACACAAACGAAGACTGGAATGACAATGTAAGAAGGCCGATACCCACGCCCAGGGTAGCGAACCGAAGGTCCTTTAGAGGAGACAGATCGAGTACTTTCTTTTTGCTAACATCGACTGCCGTTTCATCTGATTCTGGTTCCGATAAAGTTTCACTTTTCAACCGTTTTATTCCTGTAACCTGCAACATGTCTGATTTGGCGTTCATGTTGTTAAGAAATGCCTGCTTTTGGAGAGGTGTGATATCACTTCCGGATCTGATCCTCTCATTTGTCAAGTCAAAATCTGACCCCAGAAGAGGCCTTGCTCTCCGACTGCGGGACTCACTGTCCGCCCTTAATCTACCATGTTGTCCCATAATATCTCCTGTTGACCCCGACGTACAGCCGGGTACCTGGATAAAGTTGAAGTTTGTTGGCTTGTTGAGGTGCTGAATGCTCCCCAGTATATTTATATCATAGCACAAACTGGAATGCGACAATGCACGCAGGTCATCTCGCGAGAAGTGGAACAGAATAACGCTACCATTCTCCGTTACTTTATGACTGCCATTGTGTGGCTCACTGAAAAAAACAAGAACAGCTGTTTTGAAATCGATACCATTTTAAAGCGTTTTCAGAGAATGAATCTTGATTAAAAAAAAATCAGGGATCTCTAGCAGACTTGTTTATTAATAAATTATCAGATTGATTTTTAATATTCAGTTTGGTCTGGGAGGGAGGTGTCAAATCCAATGATTTTAATGAATAGGCCGTGTTTATCTATGTTTTGAAAATTTAAAAGACGATAAAATCCTTTTGACAATCAGGAAATGGACACTTTATTTACATGTGCCGCTTTGAAAACTATCCACTTAAATGAAAACACCTCAGTTCAATTTTCTCAAACATATAGTATTTAATTGTATTGTATGTATAACTATGACCATTTTTGTACCATTTGCTTGTGTTCGATCAAGCAAATCTTATTAAAATAATTTCATACGGGACAAATTCATTTCTTAAAATATGCTTTATGTGGGTTTTATCGAAATACCAGATACAGAAAAATAATGTACGAGTAATATCCCATAATTTCTGCAACAATGAGTAATCTTTAAACGCTTGAACAAACGAAAAGGCTCTCAAGATTTAAAGAGCTTTATCTCATATAACATTAAAAAGGTAAAACCAGACATAATATTTAATATATTATAAAAGCCCGTTTGTCAGTACTAATGATTAAGTAATGCTCACATTGTTACATATAACCTTTATATAAATTTAACTTGATTTTCAATATGATTATTTGTCACACTTGCAAAAAAAAAAAACAGTTCTCCAACCTGTTACCTGGCTTACAGCATGTAAAAGTGCATACAACCACGTGAAACGAGATAAAGAATTATCAAGCGACATAAAGACATATTCCAAAAATCAGTATCTTGCAGGAGTGATTGAATATCCCTCACACGTAAAGTCTTGCGAGACGTATTCTTTATGTGAAGTATTCAATAATTTTATAAGATTCATGTTTTAAAAAACAAAGATACACGAACATAGTGTCACTCCTTACAGGTGTAATGTACGTTTATGCTAATATATTACAGGATATAGAATGAAAAATAAATGGCATTTGACAAAGAAAAACATGGTAAGAGGAACATAAAGTACATTACATTTTGCAAACCAGTTAGAAATAATTCACAGTTTCAACAAAGTAATCTTTTAACAACATTTATCATTATATATTTCATCAAAACACGATAGCGCAGCAATGTTTGACTTGCTTTTCTCATCAGAGGACCTTGTACATATTGAACCTCTACAGGTGTGGGCAATTCGCTTGAATCCCGGATTTTTTTCCGAAATTCATTTTGGAAAGCAGTCAATATCCGGGCAGGCTCCGTTGTAAACTATTTTTGTCCAAATTTGTTCAAACGTGATTTATCTACTGTAACAGCGAGAGAACTAAATGGTTCACAACAGTGAAAAAATAACTAGAAACGACGGATTTAGACGGTAATGGCAGAGTGCCTAGCTGCCTGTACGCTGGTAGGCAGGTGAATCAAATCAATTTTCAAACAGAAAAAAACACGACTTGTTGAACCCTTTTGTTCCCGTACCAAGGCACTGCCCTGGATCCGCTACTTAATTAATCGTCTCTGAACAAAGGCTAACTACGCTCCTGATGGGCACTGGTTGAAACCAGGAAAATGAGTATGTTACAGAAGGAAGAAAGTGCAGGACAAATACAGCAAAATACTTACTACTTACAGAGGAAAATGTGATGAGAACTGTTCTAACGGATCCCGCATAACTATACCACTATATGTTTTACCTGACAATACTATGACGAAGTTACTGAAAGCAACTTCCACAACAACTGTTCAAAAGCTGAAGAAGCTTTCCGTTATCATTTGGGATCATAACAAAATAGCAGAGTATTGAGGAAAGAACTCTGAAAGTTCCTGAGAAAGGTACTCCTAGGATATGTGACCACTCGAAATCGATTACGGCATTCATTAATGCAATGTGAGATTTTTGGGGAAAGTATTAAAAGTATACAAGATGAGGTTGCCATTGTTACGGGCTGCTAGTTAAACATAACTGAGCGTTGAACGACTTCCTATTCTCGAATACAATATTCACTAAGGAGGAGGCTGAATGATGTGGCTTAACATGTATACGTGGATGGCACTGTAACTAATAATGGAGATGACAACGACTTCAGAAGCAGGATAAAAAAGCTAGGGATGCGATCAAGAAATTTGGAACCAGACTTGGAAGTTTGCTAATTGCTTATTTGGCTGCTGATTTTCTTATGAGTTTGCGTCCTCGCCACGGCCAAGTGTCGTATAAAGACGGTTTCCACAGATGATGGAAACTACACAATGACTCACTTCAGCATGTTACATTATCCTGACAACAAGGTGACCAGGAGTGCTTGGGGAAACATGGCCGAGAAGAAAGAGCAAGTCGTAGAGATAAGAAAACACAGATGTTTCAAATGTTGCACTGCAGGCAGCACATTAAGGTTAGTCCCTCCAATGTTGCCTATGCAGAATACAGAGCCTGCAGATATAAGAAGATCAGGTGGTTGTGTATTATTTCAAACAAAGAGTTGAACGTAAGGGTAGGGAAAAGATCAATGAGTAACGGTGTGAATATGGAAATTGATAAGGACATGTTTAGTACTGGAACTATCAACACACTATGTGACACAGCAAACAGAGAGAGGAAACTAGGTGCAGAGGAAGACAACTAAACAATCACCTGGCATGGATAATCTCACCTATCTCGATAGAAAAACAAATGCCAAAACTTCCAACGCTAGCATATCAGCGTACGAGAGGCGTGATCACGGGAATGTACGAGAAAGTGCGCGGAAAACATGATAAAACGGCAACAAATTTCATAAGAATATCACAGAAGGATGAAGTGTAAGGGAAAATTCCATGAAAATACTTCCAAGTCACGAAAGGACATCAATTCGGAAAAATGATTTCTCCATTAGAACAAAAGCTGAATTAAATAAATAATCGGACCTCAATGCTTCAAAAAGAGAATGGAAGGTTTTGAAACGGAACAGAATGTAAAATACAAAAAAAACACACACTATTAGCGAACCAACTGGAAGTGAAAAATATATTTATAACGACAATTGGAGTCCATCAGAGTGGATCCTTAGAGGAACATTGGTTGGGAGTATAACATAAAGAAACATCAAGAAGTAAGCAATGTTCTTCCTGTTTTCATTTCACTGTGCCGTTCGAGGTTGTTTCGACTGTCAGTATAAGACAGATGTTACATATAATTGACCTCGTGTTGAATTCGCCATCTTGTTGATGGGCAAAATAAAGCATCCGTCTGTTTGAATTA